ATTGTTCGATTTGTCCGGATTTTGGTGACGCACCCTGTAAAAATCAGTTCATGATTAGCTAACTGCTAAGTCTAATGACCAATCAGAACTTAACTAATCGCGCTTTTCTTATAAATTTAGATTTTCTATTTAATCCAAAATGTTATTTAACTCTTAATGTATTTGCTTATTATTTGGTAATATTTGTCGCTTTATTAGTTTTTGTGGAGAAAAAAGAAAAAATAAAACAAATAGACAATATTATAATTTAAGTTGCAATCTTAACAAATATATACTGGAAGTGAAATTGTCTATGCCATATATATTGTCTATGCCTTCCACGTGATCGTGTCCCAAGATCTTTCAGAACGATAAGCAGACCCTTCTCAATGTTATCCTCTCCCTCCAACACTATTTTCCAGTCCTCCCGCCACGCACGTTCAGAGCCGTCGCAAGCAAGTATGCAAGTATGCAAATATAACTTTTAGGATCAATAAAGATTCTAAACTAAAATAAAATAAATGGCTTCTTTTGATTTTGTCTCTTTCTCAGTATACATATTTATCTTTCGATGAAACTGCGCGTGGTATCCTATTCTGTAACTCGTTGAGACAGTAACGACATTGTTACCCTAGTAAAATTTTTCTTATAATTTTTATATAGATATTGGAACTTTTCAGAAATACTCAAATTTCTCTCAGAATATTTCATATAAGTGAAATATTCTGAAATTTCTCATAACTTTAAAAAAAATATTTTTAAATTTTTTAGATTTTACAATATTTCATCAGAAATTACATTTACAAAAAATCTTAGAAATCTTATGATTTTTCATAATTAACATATATGAAAAATTCTGAGAAAACAAGATTTTCTGAGAAGTGTTCCAATTTGTAGAAAAAAATGTAAAAAAATTATAAAATTATATAGAATATAAAATTATATATTTTGAAAAATTATATGAAAAATTCTGAGAAAAATTTTCACCAGGGTGCGCAGATATTTTATAATATAAAAACTACGCAATGATGTTACTGTTTTAACGAATTATGGCTCCTGCATAGGGAAAAGGGAGAGTAAGGTGACGATAAGTTTGTCGATTTTTCTTAATTTCTGTGATGAGGTAAAGAAACTAATTTATTTTTTCAAGTTTACTATATTCTTAATTATCATTTTTAAAAATTATAAAGTTGTTAAATAAATTACAATTTTTTAAAATTTAATTTTTTTAAGGATGTATCAATTTCATCATCTTGCTCCATATGTAGGTAAGATGACTTTTAGTAGTGAATAAGATGGCGAGAAATCAATTTAAGTTAAAAATATACTTTCTATGAGTAAAAAAAGATTTATTATTCATATTGTTTTAATATATTATGAGAGGTTTTAAAGAAAAATATAAATAAAATAAAACTTTTATATATTTATGAAAATAAAATTATTAAAACGTTAATTAACATTAACATAATTATATTTATGTATTATATGTACTGTATGTAATAATTACGTAATGAACTTATTAGTAAAATATATCTACTTACTACTGTGTATAGTCATAAATAAAATAAGATTTAAATTATCAAAGAAAAAATTATTAAAGAATATTAGAAAACTAAATTTGTATATCACAATTATATCACATGAAATCTAATATCTTAATATCACACAGAAAAATGTTTATAATTAGCCTTATTTTTAACCAAGTAGATATTTTATATGAGACAAACGTGAAAGTTATATTATAAAATATAAATGTTAATTTTTTATTGTGATATCATGAAGATATTTTGAAAAACTATATAACATACAGGAACAATGTGTAGAATATTACATAATTCTTCTCTTCTTCATAGTAATGTCTATATTAGTCATATTGATTGTATTGTGGGAAAAAAGATTTGAATCATGAGTATCAAATTATTTATTATTTGAGTTGCGAAAACATCACGCATGGTCACGCGTGAGTATATAACCTACAATCTGCCTCTATAAGAACGTCATTTTATCCATATACGACATTCGTTATCTTATACAGTTACCGTTTATTCCCAGAACAATAAGTCACGATAATGTCAAAATGAATCGGAAATGATTGAAAAATGACTTTAGTAATCATTTTGGAGTCATTTTGACATCATTTTGATATTATAATGACTTGTTCTGCTTGGGTTTTTATTTAATTAATAAAACCATTATAATTAATAAAACCATTATAATACGAAAAATAAAAAAATATTAATATGTTATTGTATTCGTTTAATTATACAATATTGCAACTTTATTTAAAAAATAAAAGTATATAATTATGTCATTCCTTACTCAAGCAGAACAAAAAGTTATGATAATATCAAAATGACGTCAAAATGACTCCAAAATGATTATTAAAAGTCATGTTTTGATCATGATGAAAAAATGATCAAATTGTGATTTCAAAATGTAATTTATATAAACACGCACTGTTTTAAATATCTTACAATAATTTAAACTTATAAATTAATATCTATATAAAAATTAAAAAACGTAATGTATACAAATACAAAATATTATTGACAAAAATATATAAACTGAATATAATTTTACTTAATTAAAAATATTCTAATACAGTATATATATATGTACTCTCTTAATAATATTATTTCTATAAAACATACAAATAATGAAAATATATTGTTAATAATTTCGTTAAAATTGTTGTTTATTATACAAATTTTTGTTTATTATATAATTTTCTTGTATTTATATAGACAATATTTTGTATTTATAATATAATACAATAATAATTATAGATAATTTTAAGTACTAAAAATATATAAAGGTGTCATATTAAATAGAAGTATCAATCAAGCGTCGAACGTGAAGCATCGTGAAATTATTTGCTAAAGACATGTCACATGATCAACATTGACGAATAGCAAGCTCACGATGCTCGACGCTTGACGCTGCTATGTGAAAGTACCTTTAGATAAACTTTAAGAATCGAATGGAGGGAATGCGCAATGCACTTATCTATCCCATATTTTTTATCTCTGTTGCGCAGTTCCCTCTATTTCGATTTCGCGTGATTTCGTGGGACTGGGATTTTCGTCTTATTCAAATGTTATCACTGGACGAGTTGTTGCAAGTGTAAACCAGCGTAAACGTACAAACTACCAGTCTTGTGAGATCACTTGAGCGAGATAGTGTGTCTCGTCTCGCTTTAGGTGTTATATCATCTTACCCATTTTTTGAAAAGCATTTCTGGCTTCGACTATGCATTAATACACTATTTGTCTTGATTATATCATTATTTCGTCTTATTCACTTGTTTTCACGATTTATTTACGATTCTGACCGGAATTGCCATCATTTTTGCGGCGAATGCCATTAATTTTGAAGAAGAAGAAGAAGTGCAAACTACCATCAACCATTATATAGCAGTTTAGTTTATAGCAATATTTGTTATTTAATATTCGCGATGACTGACGAAACATGTCGATTCATAATCTATTGAGTGGAAATCCAGAGAATCAAAAGAAAATAAAGAATCAACGTGTGATTTATATTAAAACTGTGCTGTTTGTGTGATGTGACACTACAATCATAAAACCGGTAAGTTTATAGCAATAATAATTTTAAGGTTAGAAAAAGATTCTTGTATGTACGCAGTTGTAAATTTTTTTAATAAATAATTTATTATGACTGCTTTCCTTTTAGTAGATATAAACGATATAAACGTAGTTCTATTCTTATTATTGGCAATGTAAGATTTCAGTTCGTAATGTCTATTCTCGGTACGTCGACAATACATGTGATACACGTTTGCGAGCGCGGCCGATCAAGCGCGAATGATTTTTGTCAGGAATGGACGAGAGCTTCAATTTAGAGAAACTGTAATTCTATCCACGTATACGTTTATTTTTCTCTTGTTACAATTTTAAATTGACGAAACACAAAATGGAGGAAACTGTTCCTCCACGAATGATTTAACTAGTCCGCAATTACTCTTGAATTCTCTCGGCTCATGCCGTCCGCGTGCTCCGGAATATGCGCGCATCCGCAGACCACTCATGACCTGCCAAATGTTAATTGGCTTCATACGGGCCTTCGCGGCAGTGGTTCTCCACCTACGCAGTGATGATCACAGGAATTTTCTTACAGCTCGGCCAGCTTGAGTATGACTGAATTCGAATATGTCTTTTATTTAAACACATATACATATTATAAGTACAGAATCATTGATATTGCTGTACAAAAGTTCCTTACTGCTAGTGCTTATACATTTATATTAGCGTAGCTTAACCTAATGAAAGTTTAATAAAGTCTTAAAAACTTAATAACTAGTTTAGAATTTTTATTTTTACATCGTCCGAAATCGGTCTGATCCATAGTTCGATCGGATGACAATATAGAATTGTCATACGATTTTGTCGTTAAATTAAAACCAGGTATATCTTGAACCAAATATCGATTCTTGTTTAGAACTTTCGCGACCATGTAAGAATCTCTATACTTTAGACGTAGCTTTTGATTTATGCCAGGTTTCGATCCATCATCTTTCATGAGGACTAAATCGCTTGTTTGTAGAGAGTCGATCGATGTTTCCGATCATAATATTACTTATTATATTAGGAGTACAAATTAGTACGATTAATTTTTTTTGTGTTCAAAAATGCATTTATTTCAAAACAAAATGAATGAATAGATTAATTAAAGTATTGTCCATCGCTGGCTACTACTTTTCCCCATCTCTCAAGCAATTTTCGAATTCTATCTCGAAAAAATGACTTGTCTTTGGAGGCGATCCAATTTTGGAGTCAATTTTCGATTTCTGCGAAAGAAGTGAACCGATGACTTGTCAAATCGTGCTGCATCCTTCGAAACAACCAATAATCAAAAGGAACAATGTCCGGAGAATACAGCGGGTGCGGTAAAACATCTCATTTGTGAACGTTTCCAAATATTTTTTTACGACTTTAGCGACATGAGGCCGAACGTTGTCATGAAGAAAAATAACTTTATCATGTCTTTGCTCGTATTCCGGCCGTTTTTCTCGCAATTCACGGCTCAAACGAATCAATTGTAGCTAGCCGATACCAATCGCCCGTAATGGAATCGCCAGGTTTCAGCAGCTCATAAACAACACCCTTTTGGTCCCACCAGATACAGAGCATGATCCTCGAACCATGAATGTTCAGTTTTGGTGTTGATGTTGAGGTCGATGGCAATGATTGACCGGGCTTAGCGTAGTATTTTTTCTTCTTGAGGTTGTCATAGAATATCCACTTCTCATCTCCAGTCACAATCCGATGCAAAAAATCTTTTCTTTGTTGTCTTTCAATCAGCTGTTCGCAAGTGAAAAATCGCCTTTCAACGTCTCTCGGTTTCAGTTCACCCAATTTCCTTGTTTTTTAATTATTCCCATGGCTCTCAATCGTGCAGAAACGGCTTGTTGAGTTACTCCCAATGATTCTGCAAGCTCCTCTTGCGTTTGACTCTGATCTTCTTCGAGTAATGCCTCTAATTCTTTGTCTTCGAATTTTTTTTGACTGTCCAGAGCGAGGCTTGTCTTCAACGCTGAAATCTCCATCCTTGAAACGTCAAAACTATTCCCTACATGATTTATCAATTGGGGCAGTGTCACCATAAACTTCGACAAACATTCGATGGGCTTCAGCTACACTTTTCTTCTAATTAAAGCAAAAAATTAGAACCTCTCGCAAATGCTGCTTGGTTAATACAAAATTCGACATTTCAAACACAGTAAAAATCAAGGTTTTTGTATAAAACTCAAAGCGATATAAACTGAATATTATTAGCAGATGTTTAACCTCTCTGAAAACGCCAAAATCAGTTGTCACTATGAACCATTCACAACAGCCGGAGCCAGTTTTTGGAAAATTAACCGAACTAATTTGTACTCCCAATAACATTGAAACTATTTGATTGCTTCAACGGCCGCCTCTCTATTTATCGTTCGCTGTTTTTCTATATCTATTTACGCGAATTCCTTGACAAATTCAGCGAGCGAGGAATCGCTTCTAAGTCGTATCCGATTAGGAGTTTCGATGACGTCGATTTTGTTCCTTGGAACGTATTGTTACGTCCTACAGACGCCACGATTCTTTTCTTCGGCTCTACGTCGCGACTATAGTTGGTGTCTGCAAGACTCGAGCGGAGTCTTCTGACGGTCTGACAGAATTGAAAAGAGAGACCGGACAGGCTCCGCGAAAACTCGTAAGTGCCAATCAACCTGGAAGAAATAATTAATGCAGGCCCGAAAAGAGACAAGATTGTAAAAGACATTATAAATGCACCGAAGTCACGCAATAGTAAAAATCTAGGCTTTGTCATCCGAGACTGACTAACAATTTCATCTTAGAAAAACAGGCGCCACATTGCGCCTAAAAAAATCATAAAACGCATGGGATAACGTCCCACGGGAGCGTTATCTAAGATCAAACTCGCGACTGACAATGGTAGCCCTGCACGCAAACCTAGTTGTGCATAGTAACCATTTGTTTAGCTAGCCGTATTTTCCGCGAGAACAACAGAATTCGTCATCTGTCTGGAGCAATCTTGGCTCTTCAAGAAAAACCGTAAATCACTTCTTTTCTTCTCGAAACTACTCTAATGATGTATTATACTTTAGATTAACAACGATAGGACGCTATAAAAATCGTAAATCTCGCGTGACATTGCAATTAACTTTTGCATCCTAGACAAAGGGCACAACGCCCTTTTTTCGGGGTATAAATAGAAGTCCCGCGGAAGCGCAGAACGTCAGTACGAAATTTGGAATCCGGTCCACGTCAGTGAAGATCGCGGTCAGTTACGAATTAACTCATTGTCTCGGGCAGTGCAGAAATTATTGAAACCCGCGCTAATCACACCAATTCGCGATCCCATTCAAGTGCGAACTTGTGAGCAAATCGCAACTGGAATTACCAGCTACTGCGACTGCCCTTCGGACGCTCTCCGCTGATGACGGATCTCCTTGGCCACTCGCCTAGAACCTACCCGATATCTTGGGCCAGCTAATAGTAAGTCGCATTTATTTCCAGTCCATCCCCGCGTTTCCCCGCATGGAAAAACAGTCATTGTACTTAAATACATTTTCACGCGTTTTCAACGAACACACGTGAATTTTAACCCTTCGGTTCGTAGTGCATACCATCAGAAAACGCGGGCGAACTCCCTATGTCCGGAGGAGTAGGCGGAACCGTTCCTCAGGGCCACCCACAATCTCGCCGCCACAACCGACTGGCGAACAATTCGTCGAGATCTCTTATTCGCCAACACAACCGTTAGATCTTACCTCTCCTCCTGTTATCGATCCTGCTATTCAGGAAATCCTTGGTTATTCCCCTCCTCCTCTCGAGGAACGATTCCCTCCCCCTCCTTCTCACGAAGAAGGATTCTCACTCTCTTCTCCTTTGAATCACCTCCCGCCCCTTTCGTTCAACCGAATCCTGAGCTGATCGACTGGGATCGAATGTTCCGGTTATTTTCGTCCCCCTCCAACGAAGGGGACAGATTAATCACAGTATACATCCCCGGAAATTCCACACCTTTCACCATTCTCTACAAGCACCTCATCCCGATGTGCTCCTGCAACACTTTCCTCGCCTCTCATACTCCGTTAATCCTTTCCTCTCCACATACACTCACACTTCCACAACTATATTAGCTAACTCAATCATTTTACCATAAACAAATCGATTGTAACTAAATTAATAATAATTTTATATATATATATATATATATATGTTTTATATAAATCTAATAATAATATTTTCTTTAAATAAATGTAAGTTTAGATTGTAAATGAAGATTGCCAGCTTCCATTTATTTGTTAAATCACCACTCGCATTCCTTTCCCTCTAATATCTGAGATCGCACGAGGTCCAGTCCCGGGTCAAAAGGATTAAGTTCCTTGACTCAAAAGTAGGACCGACGTTCGCACTGTCCAGTGGAACAGATGTCATAGCGTCCCTGCGGACGTTGACCCATATTCCGGGAAAGGTGCGTACGACTCACAGGTGTTCGCCTCCGGGCGTATATACCTGTGAGATTGAGTCTAACCGTCCTTCCATACCCTCTCCATTCTGCCTCATTGGTTCCTTGACCAAATTTCCAAGGCTTTGGACGTAACAGTATTATTAATTATATACGCGGTTTTACTGAGAAAATGTTTCCAGTCGTGTGACTTGTCCACGAGTTTTTGCAAAGTAAATTTGAGGAATCTATTGACTCGCTCTACGATGTCATTGACTCATGGCGCGGCAACAGCTATTTTGTGATGAATAATATTATTTGAATTTACCATAGCATCGAACTCGCGAGAAATAAATGCACTTCCTTTGTCCAAAATAACTTTTTTTGGCAACCCGAGAATATTGAACAATAATTTCAAGAAATCAATTGCCTCCTTCGACGACATTGACTTCGTCGGATAAAACCACGTGAATCGTGTCGAGAGCATCTATGACTATAAAAACAAATTTAAAATTGTCTTCGGTTTGCTGTAGAGGATCGAAGTGATGTATATAAAGTATCTCGAACGACTTTTTCGGGATTGTGGTGAACTATATTTCACCTTCTTTCTGGCT